TATGGTGAGTGCTGTGAAGTGTGTAAACCTGGCGATTCACAGACCTGTACCCCTGGGGATAAAAATATATGTTTATAAAAAATAAAATTTAAAAAAAAAAGTCTCTTGCAATAATACAGGAAAGACAGAATAATTCCAAACAGAGCCAAAGACTGGAAGTAGGGTAGAAAGGGGGAGGATTCAAAAGGTATTTTGATAGTATACTCATGACAACTGATGGATCTTGGTAGGTGAGGGATCTGTGGGAGAAAAGATTTAAGGAAGATTCCCTGCTCTTTACCATAGGTGGTGGTACACTGAGCAAGAACAGATTTGGGGAGTGAGATGGACTTAATTCAATCACACTGATTTTGAGTTTGAAATACCTGTGCAATACCCATGTGAGGAGAATCTAGCAGACGTTTTGAGATGGATCTGGAACTCAGAAAGAAAGAGAAATCTGGGCCAGACATATTGATTTAAATCAACATTATATAGATAACAGAGCACACTTGATCACTCAGGGGGAAGATACAGAAGTAGACTAGGAAGACCAAAATGGAGCAGTCAGAAAATTAGTTTTTCTAACGATACAGTGACCCTGACATATATTGAGAGATACTAAGTCAAATGAAAACTGAATTTAATACATAAAAAAATACTAATACATTTTGGCATATTTTATAAATTCCAAACAAACCCTTACTTAACAACAAAACTGAACTAAAGTAAAAATATTCCATTCCCAAAGCCCCCTAGTTACTTGAGGTTTACTGAACTATTCAAAATGTTAGTCAAAACATAAAATTTCACTCAATAGCCATAGTTTATCTAATTAACAGCACTGTGCCACTAACAAGATGACAGCACATCAAAGCACTAATTAATATTTGGTTGAATACTTACAAAATTATCTAAAGACTGGGCTTTGCTGAAGGATATTACATATAATAATATAAACACTTACAGCTTGATTACAAAATTAGGAACTGTATTTTATTAAAATGCTATCCATCTCAACTTGAATCATCGTAATATGCCATAATGAAATATCACTGAATAATTATTGTCTCTTTGCTCAAGTAAGAATATTTCAACTCATTAAAAATGAAAATATAATACAATCAACATTTTCATATGTACTTTTCAATACATAATACAATATATAACACTCTGATCTTCTACCAAATATATAGACTAGTAGAGGCAGAAATTAGAATATTAGAACTTCCTACTATAAGATGGCTGAAATTATGGTCAAAGATGAAAATAACTTGGGGTGCCTGAGTGGCTCAGTCAGTTAAACATCTGCCTTTGGCTCAGGTCATAATCCCAGGGTCCTGGGATGGAGCCCTGCGTTGGCCCCCCTGCTTAGCAAGGAGCCTGCTCCTCTGTCTCCCTCTACCCCTCCCCCTGCTTGTGCTCTCTCTCGCTGGCTCATAAATAAAATCTTTTTTAAAAAATGGAAATAACCACAACTGCAGTTTAAGCAAAAATTGCAAAAATTTATTTTGCAAATGTAAAACTCCTTAGACCTGTTTCCATTTCCAGACTTAAGGTATCTTAAATTCAGACTAGAGATGAAAACAGAACACAAGTGAACTTTCAATAGAAAGACTAGTTCCAATTCTCATCTCATCCTAAACAATGAACTTCTCATTTCTTATTATAAGTAAAAGTTAGAAATGAGTTTGAGCTCTTTCATGACATAAAATGTAAGTTGTTAATGCATCTATTTTGCTTGAGTCTTACTCCTGCTGGAAAGCTTTTCGATTTTTTTTTTTTTTTTTAGCTCAGACAATCAAAACCTTTTTTTAACTGCTTCAGCAGAGGCTAAAGATTGGGAAGGTAGAATAATTTTTCTTCCCACCAAGTGAAGGCAGTCTTTCTAAACTAGAGGTTAGCCCTAAGACTAGACAGTGTAAAGCTTATTCTGCTGCTACTAATTATGTTTTCAGAAAACAGCCCCAGTAAATTCTAATACTGTGTATAATCATTGTTCAGTCTTTTTAGTTAAAAACAATTTTTTCACTACCATTCTCCACTTTATAAATTTTTAATCTAATGTGTGAGAAACTGATTCTTTGTGTTTACTTAATTTAATTTAATTCTATTTTATTTTATTCTTGGTCAGAGACATTTCCTTTGATGAACCTATAAATCAATGTACATCAGAATCACAGTGAAACTAAAACATTTAAAGAAATATAAATCTCCCCAGAACTTATGATCACTTAAAATGTGCATACCACTAAATATACTATGAATACCTCTAAACATTAAAGCCAATTTTTAACTAATAAAAGTAGGCAATTTCCTCTGCATTTTTCCCCTCCCTGTAACAATTCCACATTATGATAAATTTAGATTTAGACTCTTTCCTAAGAAAACAAACAAAAACATGCAATTACTAGCTAAGGACATAAACTGAACCCAATCCCTTTATGAGAATTTGGCTTGAATTCGTTTAGATAATCACTTACCTAACAGGGTCCTTGGGCAGTGGTCCTCAAATGTCAGAGAGCAAAGAAGGAGCCAGGGTACAAATTCAAATGTGGAATCTAAGGCCCAGGCCAGAGAGATTACCTGATTCTGAAATCCCCCAAACAAATATTTGTAATTAGCATGGCATACTTTTGAGGAAGGATCATGCTAGGAAATTGAGACAAAAGATGGATTGTTTTGATAGGGCTAGTGAGTGACCTGGATTTCAAGGCATTTGACAGCCTGGATGGGGCACAGCAGGGATAGACCCAGTAATTCAATAAATAGCACAGGGAAGCAGCAAAAGGGGGAAAGTTTGGCTCAGTCTCAGCAGCAACTAACTAGAAAGCTCAGCACTCCCTCCTTGCCTTCCCAGTGAAATATATATCCCAAATAAAGTTTAAACAGGATACAACATTATACCCGGACTGGAACTGAAAAATGTTAATTGGTAGCTGGATGCTTGTTACAGCCTCTGCAACAGGAGGTCCAGTTAGGAAGAGCCTAAAAAGGCATCTCACTCTACTCCATTCTACATTTCCTTCAAAAAAAAAAAAAAAAAGACCCTGAGGTAACCCCTCCACTACTGGCTTCCAAGCCCATTGCTAATTCTCTTTCAAGGCAGTTCTCTCTCAATAATAAAATGTTCATGGCCAGAAGTGGAAGGTGAAGCCAAGAGGAGCAATGCATACTACTCTGTGAAGTCAGCAACAGGAGGTGCGGGAACAGAATGAGCCCTCAGAGGATTACAGTCTCACCACTACCACTTTCCCTGCAAAAACTCAAAAAACTATAAACTGTTTCAAATCACACAGAAACACTCCCCCTTGTTATAGACACAGGGCTGAAAAATTAAACAATAGCAAAGGAAGACCTCTTCTGAGTACAGAAAGATTTATCATTCAGAAATCTGGTTGTATCTTTCCAACGGCTCGCTCTCCTACCTCACATGTAGATGAAGAGTTCTTCAGCACCTAGAGGTAGTGAGAGTGACGCAGAGGGCTTGCTCGCTCTGACAAGAGTGAACAATACCATCCCTACCCAAGTTCCTCCGCCGTCAATTTTTAAGAAAATCAAAAACATCAGTAACAGTGTGGGACCAAGACGATGCTCTTCAACCATAAGAAAGACGAACACCGCCATATAGAGGAAGAGAGAAAGCTTGCTTCTGTAGTGGACTTACCCTGGAAATCAGGAGAAAATCTTGGAAATTACCTACTTTACATTCCCAACTGAAAAAGACAAACGGAAAAGAAAAACACAGCCTCTAAAAGCAAGAGGTGAGGTGGGAAACAACAGCTGAGAGTAAAAAAGAAACTGGATAAGAAAAAACTGGAAGGGAATTCAAATATATAATAATAGTAAAGATTTAAATTCTATATGAGAGGCAATAGAAGTACAGAAGCTGGAAAAAAATCTAATTAGTATTTTAGCATATACATGTGAGATGCACTCCAAACACAAAAGAAAAAAGACCAAGATGAAAACAAAGCATATTGATTGATAGGGAGGACAAAAAATACAAATCCAATTCTACAAATAACTGCCATTTCTGAACTGAAATAATAAGCAAACATACCACTGAAAAATTATTCCTGAGCTGGTGAAAAAAAAAAAAGGACCAAACGTATTTACTCTTCTAAATTGAGAGGATTCACTTTGTTTCTGAGAAAACTATTGGAAAAAACAATGACAACAACAACTATGCCTAGAAGTACCCTAGTAGAATATCTTAATTTAAAAAAGAAAACAAACAAACAAAGATACAGGCAGAAAAGAAGAGTTTACCTACAAAGGAACAAAAATTTGGGTAGCCTCCACCATGTCCTTCATAGAACACCAAAAGTCAATAGAGGAATGTCTAAATATCTGAGAATTTCTGATTTACAAGCCTGTGTCTTAGCATCTACAACAAAGTTAGGCACACTATAAACATTAAATAAAAGTTGTAGTCAGTAAAAGAAAAATTAAAAATTTTAAGTGAATTTATTTTATATCTCTCTACCTCTCCATAGTACATTTCTTCAACTTTCAAGCTTATTCACCAATTGGTCTTTCCCCAACCAGACAATAGATTTATGTGACATCTCATCTTTCTGATATGAGTATAATTATTTTTTTTAAGATTTTATTTATTTATTTGACAGACAGAGATCACAAGTAGGCAGAGAGGCAGGCAGAGAGAGGAGGAAACGGGCTCCCTGCTAAGCAGAGAGCCCGATGCGGGGCTCGATCCCAGGACCCTGGGATCAGGGTCTGAGCTGAAGGCAGAGGCTTAACCCACTGAGCCACCCAGGTGCCCCATGAGTATAATTATTTTTAATATTATCATACTTTTATATAAAACAAGACTTCTCTGCAAGCACATAAGTGAAGCTGTTCCACCACTTCTGATGATTTAAATTGATCCACCAACTCTCTTGTCATTTTGGGTGTCTTTTTAAGATTTAATTTTTTGAGAAAGACAGCAAGAGCAGGAGGGGCAAATGGAGAGAGAGAGAATCTGAAGTGCACTCTGTGCTGAGCACAGAGCCTGACATGGGGCTCAATCCCAGGACCCCGAGATCAGGACCTGAGCCAAAACCAAGAGTTGGACGCCTTACCAGCTGTGCCACCCAGCGCCCCTCTCGTTACTTTTGAATAGTAAGTGTGACTTGAAGAGCTAACTCCCATCTCCATGTATGCTAATTAGGCCAGAACCAGGAACTGATCATGTACGAGTCTGGCCAAAGTTATTCAACAAATAAGAAGATACAATTACACCCAAAACCATAAGATACATAGGAATAAACCTAACCAAAGAGGCAAAGAATCTGTACTCAAAAAACTACAAAGTACTCATAAAAGAAATTGAGGAAGACACAAAGAAATGGAAAAATGTTCCATGCTCATGGACTGGAAGAACAAATATTGTGAAAATGTCTGTGCTACCTAAAGCAATCCACATGTTTAATGCAATCCCTATCAAAATATTGAAACAATCCTAAAATTTGTATGGAATCAGAAAAGACCCCAAATAGCCAGAAGAATGTTGAAAAAGAAAACCAACATTGGTGGCATCACAATTCCAGACTTTAAGCTCAATTACAAAGATATCATCATCAAGACAGTATGGTACTGGCACAAAAAGAGACACACAGATCAATGGAACGGAATACAGAGCCCAGAAATAGACCCTCAACTCTATGGTCAACTAATCTTCAACAAAGCAGGAAAGAATGTCCAATGGGAAAAAGACAGTCTCTTCAACAAATGGTGTTGGGAAAATTGGACAGTGACATGCAGAAGAATGAAACCGGACCATTTCCTTACACCACACACAAAAATAGACTAAAAATGGATGAAAGACCTCAATGTGAGACAGGAATCCATCAAAACCCTTGAGGAGAACACAGGTAGCAACCTCTTTGACCTCAGCCACAGCAACTTCTTCCTAGAAACAGCACCAAAGGCAAGGGAAGCAAGGGCAAAAATGAACTGTTGGGACTTCATCAAGATCAAAAGCTTTTGCACAGCAAAGAAAACAGTCAACAAAGCCAAAAGACAACTGACAGAATGGGAGAAAATATTCGCAAATGACATATCGGATAAAGGGCTAGCATCCAAAATCTATACAGAGCTTATCAAACTCAACACCCAAAAATCAGATAATCACGTCAAAAAATGAGCAGAAGACATGAACAGACATTTCTGCAAAGAAGACATCCAAATGGCCAAGAGACACATGAAAAAGCACTCAACATCATTCACCATCAGGGAAATACAAATCAAAACCACAATGAGATACCACCTCACACCACCAGTCAGAATGGCTAAAATGAGCACGACAGGAAATGACAGATGCTGGCAAGGATGCAGAGAAAGGGGAACCCTCCTACACTGTTGGTGAGAATGCAAGCTTGTGCAGCCACTCTGGAAAACAGCATGGAGCTTCCTCAAAAAATTGAAAATAGAGCTACCTTAAGACCCAGCAATCACATTACTGGGTATTTACCCTAAAGATACAAACATAGTGATCCAAAGGGGCACGTGCACCCAAATGTTTATAGCAGCAATGTCCACAGTAGAACCTAGATGTCCATCAACAGATGAATGGATAAAAAAAGATGTGGTGTGTGTGTGTGTGTGTGTGTGTGTGTGTGTATATATGTATATATATACATACATATATGGTGGGGTGTGTGTGTGTGTGTGTGTGTGAAAATAAATATATAAATGTATATATATATAATAGAATACTATGCAGCCATCAAAAGAAATGAAATCTTGCCATTTGTAACAACGTGGATGGAACTAGAGGGTATTATGCTGAGCGGAATAAGTCAAACAGAGAAAGACAAATATCATTATGATCTCCCTGATATGAGGACTTTGAGAGGCAGAGTGGGGGTTTTGAGAAAGACAAATATCATATGATCTCCCTGATATGAGGACTTTGAGAGGCAGAGTGGGGGTTTTGGGGGGTAGAGAAAGAAAAAATAAAAAAAGATGGGATCAGGAGGGAGACAAACCATAAGAGACTCTTAATCTTACAAAACAAATTGAGGGCTTCTGGGGGGAGGGGAGGCGTGGAGAGGGTGTTTGGGTCATGGACATTGGGGAGGGTAGGTGAAATGGTGAGTGCTGTGAAGTGTGTAAGCCTGACGATTCACAGACCTGTACAACTGGGGCAAATAATACATTATATGTTAATAAAAATAATTAATACAAAATTTCTTTAAAATAAAATACCCCCCCCCAAAAAAGAAGATACAGAAAAAATCAGCACTGTATCAGAAGCTACAGACTCAGTGCTCCTCTGAAAATAGATGATAGTGATGCATTTTTAAAATATACTACCAAGTGCCATTAAAAAAAATAGTAGTTGGACATTTTTTAATGAAAGAGACATTCCCCTTTTCTTCTTACAAAGTCTTCATTAACAACTAGATTAATGCACTGTCTTATTTCCACAAGCTTTCATTACGTTCACTTGGCACCTACAATATCTTAACCATTTGCTGTGTATATGTATCCTCACAGGAAGGAATGTCAAATTATTTCCTGGGAAAATCAGAGAAGACTCTAAAAGAGGGAGTCTG